TAACACACACTGACACACACACAATAACACACTGACACACACATTAACAGACTGGTGATCGCGGACAAGACAGACTGCCGTGCGCGTGTGCTGATGGGGTTAAATATTCAACAGAACACTCTCCGCCACCTTCCGGTTATATAATCTTAAAAGGCGGGCACGGTGCCTATCTCTTCCCCCGATCCAAACCCCGACAGCCCAGCCCAGCCCAGCCCAGCCCCGGCCGGGAACCGAACCGGACTCCTGACCGAGACCATCTCGCCTGCGTCCCGCGGCACCCCGGGTTCCTATTGGCTGAGGATGATGTCACCCGCTGGCCGGGACCCGCCCCCTTCCCCTTGACACACACACAGACCGACTCAGACTACCCCCCCCCCGCTCTTCCACACACACACACACGCACTCTCACGTTCCCCTCGGTGTCTATATTCCAGCAGCGGAGCACAAGAGCAATAATAGAATTGTGATCTACAGAGTCTGCCCCACAGTACCGCCGAACCCCTGTCTGCGCTCCGGCCCGGCACGGCCTCGCACGAGCGCGCTGGCAAGGGCACCGCGCCGCACGGTCCCGTGCATCCGAGCCAGGAGATACACACGCGTGTGTGTCCGGGCATCACACACATATATGCACAGATGCGCGTCCACAAGCGCTGCCATACAGCTGGAATTATCCACAACGACCCATGACGCTCCTCCGGAAGACCAGCTCCTAACGTAAGTGGATCCTTATCCGTGCATCTTTCGGACCTGTACCGCCAGTCTGGGAGCCCCAGCCGCGTCTGTGCCCTCAATCACAGATGCGTGCACGTAACATACATATAGAGAGATTTGTTTATGCGCGCAGGTATAGATCTCTATTAGACTGCACAGACGCACATATCAAACAGATAAGTCGCTATTGCGTGTTGATGATTCCTATGTGCGCAGGGTGCTGTTTTCATAAATGCACCCCGCCAGACAGAAGCACTGCCCCGGGACTCCGGGTTCGACAGCCGCTCTGCCCAGCCCGCAGTCTGGCGGCGGTATTCATATTTAACTGGGGCTGCGGATAGTCCTGTCCTGCCCCCCGGGACCCCGACCAGAATACCCCCCCGTAGTATTCACCAGAGCCAAACGGCGGCCTGGGAGCTGCACGCGAGCTCCTCGGCGCCCCCCCAGAGACCCCCGGGCGCGCTGTGGCTGTGGGCCCCGGGAGCTCGAGGCGCCCTGGGTGCGTGTCCGCGCAGACATCACACCTGTACGCCTGCTCTTTTGTTTTCTGTTCCACGCGTGGGGGGGGGGAGTTCTGTTCGTGCCGCCTGTACGGCACCCCGTGTCCTCCGGACGCGTGTTGCTCACAAAGGCTACCTGCCCACGCGCGTCTGCGTCACGGGGATCAAGGGGGGGCAGCTCCGCACCTGACCTCATTCTGGAGCCGCGCGTTCGAGTCCGGGGGCATTTCACAAGAGCACCCGCGGGTCCGGCGCGAACAGGAGGAAGGCTCCCCGGGTTTCCTCCTCCTCCTCCTCCTGCTCTCCGCGCGCTCCACACTGAAGACTCGTGCCGCCCCGGGGGCAGGAGGCTGAGGCAGCGGCGCGCGCCTTTTTTTCTTTCTTCTTTGAATCTGGCTTGATGGCGCGTGTCGCTCGCGTGCTGAACCTGCGTGCGTGCGTGCGTGCGTGCGTGTGCCGGTCACTGACCCCCCCCGCGAGCACTCACACACACACACACACATCCCTGGGCCAGACCAGCGCGTGTTGCGCTCTCCTGGCACGTGTGAGGCAACGATACAATTGCAAGCAGAGTAAACAATAACTGAGTGATCCACACTCTGCCAGAGCTCTCTTCTGGACCCCCCCTCAGAGCTCTGGACAGCTCATGGGGATCCCCTGCACCCCAGCAGTGTGTACCCCACCTGGGTGATGCGCCAGTCCGCTCCCCACACCCCAGCTCTCAGTGAGGGAGCCAGTTCAGAGAGGGGGGTTATTAGGAGACCTCCTAATATGAGGAGGGGCGGTTCATCTTTCGGCTTTTGCCAAAACCGCCTTTTTCTGTTGATTTTTTTGTTTCGTTTTGTTTGGGAAAGACGGTGCTCCCAGACCACTGCCTATGCGCCCCGGTTCAGGCTTCCTGGACACGCCCCTCCCCCTACAGACCACGCCCACCCGCCATGCTCCGCAGCGCCCCCTGCTGACAGGGGCTCGAACCCGAGACATCGGAGCCGCACTCTGAGCGAGCCCCCTGGAATGAGTTTATGTGCTATTCTGATGAGACTCCTGGGGAAGAGAGCAGTGAATCCCTCCCTCCCCGGTCCGGTCTGGTCCGGTCCGGTCCGGTCGCTAGCGCTAACGAGCCAGCGAGCGTGGACGCTGTGGGGGGCGGCCCGTTCTCCCGGGAGGGAGAGGGAGAGATGCCAGCGCCCGCACTGCTGGAGCAGGAAAGTGGGTCAAGACGACCTCTTTAGGAGTCCCGGGGGAGACGGGCCTGAAGCACTCTTCCCCATTCTGAGGCCTGTTTCACCTTGACTTCACCAGCCTGGCTAATCAGACTCTCTCCTCTTCATCAGCCACTCTGTCTCCCCTCTTCATCAGACTCTCTCCTCTTCATCAGCCACTCTGTCCCTCTGTCTCTCCTCTTCATCAGCCACTCTGTCTCTCCTCTTCATCAGA